CCCCGCGCCCATAAAAGGGAAAAAAATCCTTCCCTTCGACATATTGGTCCGACGGCCACATTTCGCCAGAGCATTACAGGCCAGCCAAGAAAAATGTCACCTGGTCCTCTCGGAATCTTGTGAATTTTACGCGTCATTTAATTGTAATATCGTTATAATTGTTGCCTCTGAATGTTGTTACTTTTTCAACAAGAGAAAATATCGTTCATTTCGATGACGAAACTCTTGGCCTCGCAACGGGACACTTGCGTGAGACGGGTGATATTCTAGGACAGTCGAGAAAATCAATTCCGCCCTCTCAGATTCAAGCCGGGGGGGCCCTCGTGACCTAGAGATTAAGATGTTCTACTCCTATTCAATAGGTCCCGGGCTCGAATCCGGGTAGTGACCACAAAATTTTCTGCTCTAAAATAGTGTCCTTTCGCTTCCTTTCCTGCTCTCTAGCAATGTTCTGTCGTCTGCTTTCGTCTCCACTTTCTGCCCCCACCCCCCTCACCTTCTTTGCCCCTTCTTCAGGCTCCTGACTCTTTCTGCAGCCTTTCTACTGCTACTCCTTGGCTCCTTCCTACTGTTGTCTTTCTGCCACACCCCTGATCTTATGGTAGGAAAGATCGACATCTAGCCTCGGACAACGGCGAAAAATCTCGGAGGTCCGTGTGCAAGTTGCGCACGTTAAAGATCCTTTGGTGGTCTAAAATCGATAAGAGTAGGCTTCATCCGCCAACCAGGCAAAATTCAAAAGTTCCTACTAACTAAAAATGTTTAATGTGTCCTGATCCCTCATAAGACCTTATGTAGTTGCAAATGCCGTAAAACACCAAAACAGAAGAAAAGAAATATTCAAACCTCGAACTTTGGCGTGGAAGATCAAGTTCGTAATCACTTCACTGCAGCTGCTGACGTTACTCAGTGACAAATCAAGCTGCTCAACCGAGCAAGTCGGGAACCCAGTGCCAAAACGTTCCAAGCGCAACACCTTGTGTACTGTACGGCTATAACGTTTTTACTCTGCTTTGCGATGCAGCCGTGCAAAACAGTCTAATGTAACGGAATATTTTTGCGTGCACTTGAAAAGTGATATTGAATATTTGAATCGTTTGGTCAAAATAAGTTCTGATTCTTTCGGGACATGCAGTGAGGCTGTTTTCTCTTTTAAGGTTAGACCTACATAAAAACAGATTTTGTATGGCTTCTGCACTGGAGGCAGTAGAGACAATAGAATTTTGTTATTTTGGCTAAAGCTTTGACCCTGTCGGTTGACTTGAACGAGAGGTTGTCAACATTCAAGTATAGAACAGGGACATCACAGTATTGCGAGACAACTCAACTTTTTACGTTTCAGTTCGCATCTCTTTAAAAAAAAGATGACACCCACTCAGGAAGCCAGCTCACAGCGTGACTTGAAGAGACAGAGAGGAGGACCGAGATCCATCTTGGAGCGAGATCGAGAGGCAGATCTAAGACATATAGCTGGCTGGAGGTGGAAAAGATCGCCCAGAACAGAGACCAGCGGAGAGGTCATCTTGGCGGCCTATACCAGTGAGACAGAGGTGAATGTTGATGAAAATTAGATGATGAACGGTTCAATTACAAAAAGAACAATTCGTGCGTGAGCTAGTATATTATGTTCGTCTACAGCAGTGCCTGCCAACCTAAGCGATATCGCTCGCAGGTGGGCGATTTGTTAATTAATTTGGTAGGCAGTGGGGATCACCCGGGGAGCGACATGCTTTATTTTATGCCTCTTTTGGAACTACATAATGTGCGGAAGAAAATTTTTTGCTTCCATCCAGGTGCCAAAGTGGGCACTCGTTTGGACAGCGCTGTATAATTCTGAAGGTAAATCATGACACCCCCCCCCCCCCCACACACACACACACCCAAACCACCCCTCTTGAGAAACTCCCCTTTTGGAAGATCAGCATGAAAAGTATAGATGGGACTGATACTGATTGTTTAGGTTCAAACCTCAGCCGTTGTCTTCTCGTTCAGTTACGAACAGGTACAAAGGCTGCGTTATGGCTGATGCAACACTATTGGAGTCTCAAAAGTCGAAGCCACTTTTTAAGCAGAATTCTTCACATTCCATCGACGACAAACAACCATTGGGGTCTCGTGGAAATACCCACAGGACTGAACGAATAAAAAATATGTGCGCACCTCTGAAAATACATTTTTGGTCGAGATCGTGAGCGGAAAGTCAATACCGCCCGCTGGGGAAAACTTGGTTCTTAGAAAGATTTGCCCAAAAAAAAGTTGTTTTTTTCCCTTTATGCGGTGAGCAAGCTGTGATTGGTCTTAACTCAACCACAAACTATTATTCTCTTTCATTTTAACACAAGAAAGAAGAGAGCGTCTCAAGCAGACACTCAAACCCATAAGACTAAGACGAATGGTTGCTCTGCACACCTATTGTACCGGTGTCTGTGATGTAGTCGTTAGGCGCTTCGCTGTCGCACGTCGTAGATCCGAGTAGATTCCAAAATGGGGAGGATTTTTCGAGTATCTGTCTTTACTGATGGCATGTATCCCTCTCAGCCCGGGTTGTCCCCGGCAGGTATGGCCGGAAGCTTGCCTCCTTAATTAACTAAATTGCGTCAACGTGAACGTAAAAAGACACCTACAAAAAAGAGGGGGGGGGGGGGTCTTTATTTTAAAGTATAAATGACGCTGATCGACTGTCCAGGGAAGGCTATAGTATATACAGATACATTGAAAAGGAAAACGCAGGACAGAAATGAAGTTACCGACTACCGAGAAATAAGTGCTACAAAAACCAAATAGTTGAGTACTTAGTTTCGTGAGCATGCCAAAGGCCATAATATTGTATTGGGATACCGAAGTTGAAATAAGTGTAATACATTGACTGGTAGGCTAGATCTAATTAAAAAGGAAGACGTTGATATCGATTTAACAAGCACTTACGCTTTCAAAGTCTGAAGTCAAACGTATTGAAAAGAACTTTAGAAACCCCAACATCTGGCAGTAAAGCGAGATACGAGCTGTAAATAAAGAGTGGTTACTGTCACGTCATCTGACAAGAAAAACAAGTGGGTGGTTGGAGGGCGCCACTGGCAGGCCCCGTGTCTTTTCTTTCACTCGGTTCTGTTGATTCCATCCTATCTTTCCCCTCCTCTTCAAATGACTATTAACGTGTCGATGTGCTCACACAATTCAGGTCCCTCTTGTACTTGTCAACGTTTGGTAGATCAAGTTGTGTTGTAACCTACGCCTTGAAAAAGTGATGCTAACAAACTCTTATCTATACTTGCCAGTGGCGATATAGGTTTTAATTCTAGTGTGATCCTCGGAACAGACTGACGAGACAAGATGAGAACAGCCAACCGTGCCATATGCATGTTCAGTCTAATTTCAAGCCAATTGCTGCCAAGGTGGGTTGCGATGCCGGTGACCCAAGTTTTTCCTAGGTCACTCCGCACTTTGAGCTCATTCGCTTTGCGTCTTAATCTTAAACATGTACTTCATTTCTTTAGGTGGGCGCTCCTGACTTTTACCATAAACGCCGAACACGACAGAAAATATAATTTTGCTTTGGCCCGTTTAAAATTTGGCTTAGTCCTTCTTGTTTGGGAAAAGAGAAGCACATCGACACAGTTATTTAGTGCTTGGAAAAGGGTAGACAGAAACAGGGAAATTAAGGAAGCAGGACCTTCCTGTGGCGCCCTCCAAACGGCCAGGGCTTTGTTTTCCCCTAGACATGAATGACGCTGAAGGTGTGTCTAATGCCAAGAGAGGTGCAGAATGAGACTGGTAGTGGTACAGCTAGCTCTTGCAGGAAAGGATAAGGGGTAATGGAACACTAAATATATAGGGACAGATCACAAAGTACCCACATGAATGATACGAAGGTAAGACTTTCGTTTTAGCAAGAGATGGCATTTGCAACGGACAGGCCATACAACAAAAACATACCGAACATTGTGTAACTTTTATTTATTTATTGTTATATTTATTTGTTTGTTGGTGTCTGAGTAAAGAGAAGCACATCGACACAATGGTTATTTAGTATTGGGAAAAAGTTGGACAGACAGAAAGAGAGGGAAAGTAAAGTAGGACCTACCAAGAGGCGCACTCCAACCACCACCCGCCTCGGTGTAACAGAGCAACATACAAAGAAAAGGGGAGAGGTGACAATAAATGAAAGGAAGGAACCACACACCTTCAAAACGTTCGGCTACGCCATCTCATCATAATCGTAATTATAGTCAGGAGTTCGATCAAATAAAGTGCACATTTTTAGCTCGGGTTATAGACACAGGAGGGCCATTAAAGATTTAATATTAAGTTTGGGATTTCATGCCTTGGTACGCCAGAAAAAAGCTTCTGATACTATAACTATCCGTACATGCAGACGTTTTGTCAATGCTGAACGCAACATAAATGGACAGCGACAACATAATAGTTGGAAACTAACTCCGTACAAAGTACAAAATGATTATTTGCGTTTGGACCTTTAGGGGGGATTATTGGGATGCTGCTGATTGCTCGACAGACTTTTCAGACCGTCGTTTGTTGCTTTTGGTTCAGCAAGACTGTCTAAAGCCCCTTTCTTTCAAAGTAGGCTACGGTGTAAACACCTTTTCAATATCATTGTATGCCAACAATTAGAGTTTGGAAAAGCTAAGGAAGGGTTTGCTTTCCTCGATACAAGTAACTTTTCAATATTCTAATTTTGTTATTGATATTTTCTTTTTGGAAATACCGGTATACACAAGCCAGGAAATCATATAGGACCTTATCTGGATAAAGGAAGTCAATCACAAATGTATATATTTTGCTTTCTTTTAATAAAGCATTTTTTCTTTAGGGGGAACAAAGCCATGTGTTAGAGTAAATAAATAGTAAATACACAAGCTTCAAGTCACAATATAAATATCCTTGATAAATAGAGGCGCTTCTTTTCGTCGACTATCAGTTGATAGCAGATGGCTACCCTCAGTTAATGATGAAATACTTCATGACTTGGGCTCGGCTGGTGCCGACTCCACAGTACGCTCTGCAGATTCAGGGGCCGATTCTGCTGGTGGGGCCGATTCTGCAGATTCAGGGGCGGCGGATTCTGCTGGTGGGGCCGATTCTGCAGATTCAGGGGCGGATTCTGCTGGTGGGGCAGATTCTGCTGGTGGGGCCGATTCTGAAGATTCGGGGGCAGATTCTGCTGGTGGGGCCGATTCTGAAGATTCGGGGGCAGATTCTGCTGGTGGGGCCGATTCTGCAGATTCAGGGGCAGATTCTGCTGGTGGGGCCGATTCTGCAGATTCAGGGGCAGATTCTGCTGGTGGGGCCGATTCTGCAGATTCAGGGGCGGCGGATTCTGCTGGTGGGGCCGATTCTGCAGATTCAGGGGCGGCGGATTCTGCTGGTGGGGCCGATTCTGCAGATTCAGGGGCGGCGGAATCTGCTGGTGGGGCCGATTCTGCAGATTCAGGGGCAGATTCTGCTGGTGGGGCAGATTCTGCTGGTGGGGCCGAATCTGCAGATTCAGGGGCGGCGGATTCTGCTGGTGGGGCCGATTCTGCAGATTCAGGGGCAGATTCTGCTGGTGGGGCCGATTCTGCAGATTCAGGGGCCGATTCTGCAGATTCAGGGGCCGATTCTGCTGGTGGGGCCGATTCTGCAGATCCAGGGGCCAATTCTGCAGATCCAGGGGCCGATTCTGCAGATCCAGGGGCCGATTCTGCAGATCCAGGGGCCGATTCTGCAGATTCAGGGGCCGATTCTGCTGGTGGGGCCGATTCTGCTGGTGGGGCCGATTCTGCAGATTCAGGGGCCGATTCTGCAGATTCAGGGGTCGATTCTGCAGATTCAGGGGTCGATTCTGCAGATTCAGGGGCCGATTCTGCTGGTGGGGCCGATTCTGCTGGTGGGGCCGATTCTGCAGATTCAGGGGCCGATTCTGCAGATTCAGGGGCCGATTCTGCAGATTCAGGGGCCGATTCTGCTGGTGGGGCCGATTCTGCAGATTCAGGGGCGGATTCTGTCGATTTCGTGGTAGATTCTGCAGATTCTGGGGCAGATTCACTGGATTCAGCTGGCATCGGCTCTGTGGGTTTTTCCTGTTCTCCGTTAGCAGATTCTACTGACTCTTTGGAAAGCTGTTCTTTTACCTCTGATGGAGCGTTTCCATTTTCTACGAATTAGAAGGAAAAAAACCCAGTTGGAATCCGAAAGAGGTTTGAAGTTTGAGAGAATACAATAAATGCTTAAACTGAAATATAAAATTAAGCAGGTCGAAAAAAGTTATCATAGGCGCTTCGTCTAAGAAAAAAACGAGTCATAAAATTGTAAGTCATCTATTGTAAAGTTGAGTAAGATACAAACTTAATACCAAGAACATGACATCCATAATTTTAGAATACAAAACATTCAGCGAGGCCAAATAGTAAAACATAGCATTTGTTTTTCTTCGAGGCTGAGAGAGATACAACACCCCGGCAAAGTTACACTGGATAAAAAGTTTGAGAAGCTTAGCAGATGGGCTATTGTAGTTTCTTTTTGGGTTCTTAGAAAAGAAATAACATTTACACAACCAGGCCACTGTCCTTACCTTTATTTTCTTCATTTGCAGCTTGCTTTTCTTTTTTGGGACTGGGCATGATTTCAGGTTGTGCCTCAACGTTGACTGTTTCAGCTTCAGACATCTTGGAACAGGTTTTGGTCTGAGGAAGACGATTGATTAATAAAACATAGCTGCTAAAACAGAAAAAAAGTATCCGTCCCAAGTTGTCCCTAAACTGAGTACAACCTCTAACCCTAATCAGAAGCAATGCCACCCTCAACCTTTACCTTTTTTAACAGTCGAGATTTGTTCGCCCTTTCACATTCCACCAGAACGCGACCCGTGAGCCACATGTGACCCTGACATTTGCAAATGCACCTTTCAGGAATCGCTGTGCCCTCGGGCTCTTTGCATCACAGCTAATTTTAACGTCGTAAAAGAAAAACTTGGTTCAGACTTTCCGAGTTACCGGCGTGAATGAAGCCTGTTACAGTTAATTCAGTAGACATGTTTTGAACACAATACAAGACCAAATTTCGTTTTCGACTCGGCATGGATACCTGTTTGTGTTAGCCGTGAACTTTGGACTGATGATATACTCACATGGTTACAACCTGTGGAAAAACAAAATTCGTAAAAAATTGTCTTGGCAGATTGGCTGTTCTGGACCTGGATCAACATATTTTATGGATACTACGCCGTTAGAATGATCAAACTAGTGTTATGTACTGGGATTTGATGGTCGTTTATTAACCACATCGTAGGCCCTTCACCACAGACGCCGATCTTCATAAACGCAAATTTCGTACACTAAAATGTTTTTACAATTAAAAAAAAGTAAAACAAAATCAATGAAGAACGGAGCAGCCTCACCTCAACTGACCACACACACCCGTTGATGACGATTAAGGAATTGGATTATGCGGTTGTTTTGGGAAAAATTTAAAGGATTTTTTGGTGTACAAATTTGAACAGAAATATTTACCGGTATCAGATATAGTACATCCACTTTACATAGAATTGCTGAGTAAATTTCGCCGCCATAAGATAAACGATTGGTTTAGTTAAGATTTTTTTTTTTGGTGGGGGGGAGGGGGGGGCTGACACAAATTTCATTCAATTAATAAATACAGGAGAAAAGTGCAGGTGAAAAGAAAGGTGGGGAGAGATATTTTAAATGCATGTTTTTTATGTTTCCATCCACAACTTATATAATTCACGAATCAGGCTTTCGACTTTCGACCATGCCTGCCAGAGTCATCCCGGGCTAAGAGGCATACAACATTTATGCAAAAAGACCAGAGAAACTCAATAAGAATTCTCCCAACTCGGGAATCTGAACTCCGAATCCCTTGCGCGTGACAGCAAAGCGCCTAACCGTACACCACAGACGCCCGTGGGCAGACATACAGCAAAGGAAGAGGAGGAAACTAGGATTAACTATGCGCCCTGCAACAATACGCAGTAAATAATTTGTCAAGATACACCGTTATAATGGCAAAACATTTCTCGTGATCACCAGGTGGTAAAACCATGCAATTGTCAGGGTTTCACGCTCCCATCAGTACTAAATCGTTTAAGGGGCGGGCTGCTTCGACCCTGCGTGGCAGAACCAACCTTACCCGAGAGGTAACGCAATGTCCCAATAGAAAAACGGGACAAATTTCCCCACACGGAGGATCGAACTCACGTCTTCTGCGTGTACCCAAACCGCAACACCAAAAACTGGTGAGGCGGGGGGGGGAGCCAAAGGGAGAGTGGAAATAGACAATGCTTCACGGTAAAAAATAATCTAAGTGAAAAAAAATAACATTAGGGCCCAGAGAAGGGCGTCTGGAGTCTGTTAGATAGCGGGATTGGGAGGAATGAGAGTGGGGGTCGAATACGAAGTTCAGTTCGGTCTGACCTGGGTAAAGCACTTTACATTGAATTTTCCTCGTTTAGGCTCGGTCCTATCGGAGATGTACGTTAAATTCAGAGGTCCCGTCCCTGAAATAACCCGACAGTGTTGCAAGGAGTGTTAATCCCATACGATTTCGCACATTTTTTAGAGGGGAGGGGAAGAGGGGGGGGGGGGGCAACTGGAGGGCACGAGGGAGAATGCTGGTGTCCTGGTGGATAGGTCACCTCTCTTCCCCAACAAGGTTAGAAACGACGTTGGTTGGGGGGATGGGGGGGGGGGAGTCTTTTCAAATATTTGGTTTCCCTTTGACTTAGAAAAAATACAGTCCTATAAATGAGTTGAAAATATACAAAGCCAGTAGACAACACGAGATGGAACAGCAAAGTTAAAAATAGCATTATTCATGGCATCTGGTCAAATGCCGATTTTTAAAAATAAATTATTTAGGCTAGGAGTTTTTACGCCCCCACAACCACAATTTAAATTTAGGAGGCGGGCTAGGGTCCTGCCCGTCAGGGCCACCCTGGGCTGAAAGATATACAACATAAGCCTACCATAAAAAAGACAGTATGCTTACTATAATTCTCTCCACGATAGCCTACTCAAACAAATTTCAATAAACTCACCTGCTAAATTATGCGAAAAATCACCAATCTCAAAGAACGGAACAGCAGATCCTTGACTGGCAACACCAAAGTTATGGACCGACGGCCACCACAGATTAGCGTCTAGGAATGCTGCAGCGGCTTATTATCTGCGACTTCCTCCAACAGAGCCCTCGCGTCGCTGTATGCTATACTCGTGCAGTTTGGAGAAATTCGGTGGCCCTCGCTTTTATACCACGTCCTCGTTTTCTTTTTCGATAACCTATCGGGTGAGTCAAGCTCACTATCCACCTCTATCTGCAGGTGACCTCTGAACTTTCCCTGACCTCAACTCAGTCCCTGAGGTTTTTCATTAAGCTTGGTGGTGTGTACATAAAAATAAATATTATTTTATGTTAGATTGACACACAAAACACCCCTACACTATAACCCAAATTGTTTCTTTCTCTCTCAACCGTCAAACCATTTGTGCCAATTCTGTCAGTCTGTCTGTCTGTCTTTCTGTCACCATGTCTCTTTCCCTCCATCTCTCCCTTTCTCTCTTTCTACCCCCTCCTCCCCCTCCCCTCTCTCTCTCTCTCTCTCTCTCTCTCTCTCTCTCTCTCTCTCTCTCTCTCTCTCTCTCTCTCTCGAT